CGATTTGTCGCCGCTTCCAGACGAGTCGCAGGTGTTGGTTCACTCAAGAGTTCTCAAAAATAGTTGGTTCGAAGTCCCTTATGTTCCTACTCCTCGGTAATTGGGTTTTATTGACTATCTTTCATCGGTATCATTTGTGCTGATCATATTTTGTACAGCTACCTAGTTAACTCACACAGTGTTTATAGATCTGTCTTACATGTGACATATTCCTCTCCAGTTGGAAGTGTGTCATAGAATTGTCTTTTGTCTTTCCCAGCACTCTTGTTCATTTCTTTATTCAGTGTTTTATTTACTGCACTCATGTTCTCTTCTTGTTATCCATCTTTGCATTTATTCATCTTCTTTTTAAATATCTCTGCCTCCTCTACTATCATTTTGGCGTTCTTAGAGAGCAGTTCCTTGTTTTGCCTCTTTCTTCTTCTTCCTAAGATCATTACATGCTTTTCCTCAAGTGTCATATTCAGATAGTTCTGATCTTCATCCACATATGTTCCATTATGCTGAGCACGTTCTTCTGGCTCTGTAAATCAAAAACTATTGAAATCTATGTATTGTCCATTCTGTAAAGGCTTGTATTGAAATGATCTCTGGCGACTGTCAACTTCCAGGTATAACAAGGCAATGCCAAGGAAACAAAATGTCCTACCCCTTTCGTGTTCTGTAGTGAAGGCAGTATTTTCATGTGTGTTATCGGGCAGTTCAAGTTGGTTGGATGCATGGTTTTCATTGCTGAATATCACAAGCGCGTCAGAAACGATTTGTTTCATCGATTGCAGTCTTCAGCTTTGTTCTTTCAGGGTTAGACATGTAGATGTACTCTAATAAAGGACTTGGCAGATTTCCCAAAGCTTCACCATCTATTTGACGGTAAAGAGTAGAGTCAAACTGGAATTGTAAATCCATGGTACGCACCAGTAGTATGCGTTTACAGAAACGTCAGAGTACTGAGAAATAAAATCGGTATTTTTATTAGGTGGGGTCTTTCTGAACATGCAGGTTACATCAGATGACATCATGAACTTTTCGGAAACGTTAGTGTGTTTCAGGCTTTCAGAGACACGGAATAGATCTTCCACGGTGCGCAGAGTAAGCCGTCGACAAATAGGTTCCAACCCCTCTGCAAGCCAACGAGCAGCCTTGTGTTCGGTATATTTCATGATATAAAGTAAAGGTCTCCAAGGGACACTTAATTTCTGTGTTTTTGGTAGGTTACAGACGAGATGCTTGAGAGGGACACCATGAAATCGTCTAAAATTATCAATGGACAGAATAGTTTAGTTCCCTTCTCTTAGCAGAATCTGCACCATGGATACCATAAAAGACGAACTGGACAATCTCAAGAGAATCCTCGTCGAGAACCTCTACTTAGAACAATTTATTGCAAAATCCATGAATCGTAGACAGCAAAAATCGCCCACGCTTTGAGACTTGAAAAGACTTTTCTACATGAGCCATTAATTCAATGGAGATTCATCTGCAGAAACACTGAAAAATCGACTGTCGCTTTCACTTAAGAAAACTTTCTTCGCAGCTGAACTACGATTAATCTTCTCCACGAAACCTATGATCCGTATGAAAGTAAAGGATAAACTACCACTGCTGGCCTCATCAGTATGTATCTGCCAATTCACCTGCTCAACCTGCGGAGCCAGGTATGTCAGCTGTACCCAGCGTTCGCTTTCCAAACGTATCACCGAATACTTACCAGCATGGTTTTACAAAGAAGAAAAGCGATGCCCCCGCAGCTCTATCTTAGAAGATCTGATAGATTCCGGACACCAAGCTACACCCCAAACAAACTTCAAAGTCGTTTACAGAATACGAAGCAGTCTTCCTAAAAGTGTACTAGTCAAACTTCTACAAACTGCAGAAGCAATGGCAATTCACTTGCTAAGCCCTGAACTCTGCATACAGAATAAGTTCGTTCAGTCATTTCACTTGCAAAGGTTGTATTCTGTCTCAATACCCGATAGGTTAATTCTATTTCTTTCTGTCTCTTCATTAGTATTATTTTGTCTTTTCAATTTTAATATTTTACATTTTCAACTTTTCTGTTCTCTACCCCCACCCGATTTAATTTCAACACTACATTATCACTGTTACTGACTTGACCAAGGCTCAATTTCAAGGCATTTATGTTAAGTCATCCAATTTATTTGCTCAAAATAAGTCCTAATTTAAATGGCATTACCCTACCTGTACTTAGTCTCTAGCTGTAATTACCTCCCTTGCTATCCTTATCTAAGCTGAAACATTTTAGTCAGTTATATTACGTCATCTAACTTACTAACTCAGTCTTACTTTAGTCGCTGTCTAATCAATCTGGCTTCTGTATTTGATGATTCTTGTATTACCTGATCAATTATCTAAACTTGACAAACTTCATGTGCACACACACAAATAATTGTATATAAATGCGATTGTACAGCTACGTGAGTGAATTCAAAGAAAAGAGTCTCTTCGCTGAACGTCTTCTCTTTTCCATATGACTCAACGGGGAATTTTAAGCTACTTGTCAGTTTAGCCGATGCAACTGCTGTTAAATAACTGGAACCCGATATGTGTTCAGAAAGAGGCGGTTGTCAGTCCTTCCTTTTCCTGGCAGCTGGATGTCTTTATTCTCGCTTTTATTCATTTTCTTATTATTGGCTTGGACGTCTTCCCCTTCTCCGTAATGTGACTTGTTTTATTTAATTTGAGTTGAATTCGCCGCAATTTTACCCAACTTATCAGTTAAATACTTATCATCCTATCCACCACCTCTTGCCCCTATTACAGAAATCCCTTGACAGCGCATTTAAGCTTTTGTTTTTTTGTTTAAACTTGAACCTTTAGTGTAAAAGGTATAAAGGCATAATTTATCAGCACTATTTATTACGTTTGAAGACTTTTTTATTGTGACATCATATGGCAGACTTTAGATAGTCAAACTCTTTCTGTGCATAAACTTATTCATTTCGTTTGGCTGTACTTGGCAGATGAGACGGTGAGAAAATAAACAATTACACCACTTTGTTGTACTTTATCATGGAACTCTAATTTATTATTATATTGTTGTTTCCTTTAATTCCTAGAGGAACATAGGGCTTCAGCCGTGCGTCTCCATTGAGTTCGGTTCTCTGCTACAGTCTTCACCTGGCTCCAAGTCCACCCACACGCTTTAATCTCCTCTTCGCGTGACCTCCTCAAAATAATCCTTGGACGAGCGACTCGCCGCTTCCCTTTCGGGTTTCACTCGAGAAATGGCTTGTCTAGTGATGTCACTTGATGGTTTCCTCAGAGTATGGCCAGTCCATATCCATCTCCATTTCTTCCTGCCTATTTGTTTCACAATCGGTCCCTGCTCGGTTGGTTCGCTCCTAGAGTTCCCTGTTGCTGTTCTTTTCTGGCCATCTGATCTTGAGTATTGAGCGAAGACAACTGATAATGAAGGTCTGTAGTTTATTTGATATGATTTTTATGACTTGCCAAGTCTCTGATCCGTATAGTAACACTGACTTCACATTGGATTTGAAAATCCAGATCTTATTTTTGATGCTGAGTGCTGTTGACCGCTACACAGATTTGAGAGTAGTGAAAGATTGTCTTGCTTTTCCGATTCTTGCTTTGATATCCTCGTCAGCTCCGTTTGCCTGTAGTTGAAACGATGCTTCCCAGGTAGGTAAAGGAGGTTGTTTCTTTCAGGTTCCTCCCATTTATGCTGATCACTGTCTGTTGTTGTTGTTGCTGTTGGTGATGTTGCCCAGGAATCTTCATCACCTCTGTTTTATCTATATTCACCTGAAGTCTCTGGATGCTTCTTGTGCCAACTTGTTGCTTTTTGCTTGCATATCTTCCAGTTTGTTGGATATCAGACATATATCATCGACGAAGTCCAGATTTTCCAAGTTCTTTGTGTGAGTCCATTTTATGCCTGTTTCCTTTATTGCCCGCTGTCTGTCGCATTATCCAGTCTACTGCAATCAGGAAAATCATTGGCGACAGTAGGCAGCGTTGTCTTACTTCCGTCTTCACTTCGAAGGATTCCGTAAGTTTCCCGTTGTAGATTACTTAGCATTCAGCATTGTCGTTCAGCTGTTGGATAAGATGTATAATTGCCAATACTTATTGACCCTTGAATATGGCAAAGTAGAATCAGTCACTGCACAGAATGCTTCGTTTTGATGTGGATATTTATGAAGATATAACGGAAAATTGTTGCTCACTGATGGGAATAATTTAGCGCATATGTAGAAAATTTGAAAGTCAAATGTGAGAAGGAATAATGAGTATTGCTGGAGAAGTGAACGTGAGTGTAGCAATGTTTCAATCTCTGGTGCAATCATACTGAGCTTAAGCTTAAATCAGATCGACTAATAACGAAGCAATGAATCATAGATATTCGTGTCACTGAAATGGCATTTCCTCTGGTTCTGATTGACAGTTGTTGAATTTTGTCAGTGAACGTATAGAAAGCGTTATAACTCGTCTCAACTTGTTAGTCATCCTGAGTCGAGTAACTACTTACAATGTATAAAAATTTAAATGCGAAGTTCATTGTCCGTAGAATATTAATTTGTTTGTTTACGTCATACATGAAATGACGGCATGAAAGAACGAAATGGAACTCTTGATACTTTTATACTTGTAACTGTTGAGAATAAATTTACCAAAGATAGCTTGATGGATGAATCTGTATATTCAGAAACAGTCTGTATTAGCTTCAAGTTTCATCATGAGAACTCACATTCAGTGTGACAAATCACAGTGAAATGCATTCATGCTAACTACTCTTGAGAGGAGTAACATGAGTACATTTATGTCAATCAAATTATATTCGAGCTACGAATGTGGTTGGTACTGTTATCTAGAAGGGCATCAACTACTTCAGTTATCTGCTTCAGGCAATGTATTTTCCAGCCCTTAAAACATAAGCAATCATTTTCCATCGCATAAGTATCATTCTCTTTCTCAAATGATCGATAGACATACTTACCGAAATTACTGTCCACATCATGGCGAATCCACACAGTATTATGAGCATCTGCCAAGAGAATGAGGGATAAAATCAGTCACTTAACTCAAACTACGTAGAAATATCATTGCGAGTTTAGCTGTGTAATTTATTTTATTCAAGTGTTGGTTTGTAAGGATTTGATTGGTTACAGGATTTTCATCATGAGCTGACATTAGTTAGAGAACCATTAAAAACCTGGCGGTACTGGACAGTTGTTTCGTTCTAGTTTGTGACTCTTCATCAGTACGCACCCACCAACTCCCAGGTTTTCCAATGGTTCTCTAACTAATGTCAGCTCATGATGAAAATCCTGTAGCCAATCATATCCCTACAAACCAACACTTGGATATCAATGAGATGCTCACTAGCGACTTGCCCTATTCAGATAGGTAGCAACCTGGGGTTCTAGTGAGAAGTCGTGACCAGTAGGGTGCAGCAGGTCGGGTGTGAGGACGAATGCTCGCCGAAGACATTGGCTAGGGGTCACGCTATGTCGTGAATTGGCAGAAGTTAGAATTCATTGACTGGCCATTGGATCGGGTCCCAGTGGCTTAATGGTATGTGATCTCGCCTTGTAAATCAGAAGGTCCTGGGTTCGAATCCCGGTGGATGCATACTGATGAAGAGTCCCAAACCAGGACGAAACAGCTTTCCAGTAATCCCAGGTTTTTTCAATGGTTCCCTAACTAATGTCAGCTCATGATGAAAATCCTGTAATAAATTATTTTCGCCTATCCTTTACGTCTGTTAATTATTTACTCAGATCAGTGTAATGATGCAATATGTAAATTGTAATAATCATAGATACGATATGTCGAATATGCAGATATGTCAGTTTCCATTAAAGTGTTAACCACATTTCTGCGTCTAAACACTGGACTTGACAATGCTCTCTGGGAGACCATAGGAATCATGCTATTCCACGTAGGTTTTAATGTATTTCTTTGTGTTTTCAAATCAGTCCAGTGACTGAGAGTGTGATTTTGTTATACTCATGCTTAACCAGGCTTAGAAGGAGCCACTTAACTAAACGAAGCGATGAAGAAAACCGGCCAAAAATGCGACGAACATCTATCACCACCAATGGGATGAATGCAAACATAGTTGTCATTCCACTTACCAGACTACAGGCGGGGTCACGGATGATGATGTCTAAGTCAGTTAGGATCGCAGATCCCAGATGTTAGCACAAGTGTAAATCAGGGCCTCTATATCAACTAACTGTCCAGAAGGGTTAAGCATTAATTTAGTCTCTTTGTGAATTTTCTGTCTCGCAAATTGAATCTTGCTGTCATTACCCTGGAAACGACTGAATTCTCCTGCAGAAGGGTCATCGATACTGCTGATGGCATCATCATAGCCACTGACTTAGTGTTCTTTTGGTGGAAATATAGATGATCGAAGCAGATTAGAGCCTCTCCAGTTGTCAGTGAAGAGTCCACTTCCATTTCATATGTCTTACAGATTTTTAAAATATCTATACGTCTCCTTGCTCACATTGCTATCTGCTCAGTCCTATCAGATTGAATTATAGTGTGATTACTCCACGTCCTCCATTTCGCGTCCATCGAAGAAAGATCTATGTAGGCTGACTGACGTCAAAAAGCTTACACTGACAGCAACTTTACAGCTTTAGAATTCCAGTGCGGAAGAGTTTTTTCTTCTATGCTGTGAAGTTTCAGTAGTGATGCCGAGTGTTTATATGCGGTGTGGTTGCCAGCCACAAGAGACCATTGTCCCACTCTTTCCTGGATAACTAACAGTTAGTCAGCTATACCATATCCTTTTACCATATATCAGTACTGGCAGGTAATTTTTAATTAAGACCAAATTAATGTTCATCTGATTACTTACGTCAAATAGCTGGAAGTGTATGAAAGGGAAGAATATTGTAACAAAGGATAATTCCACAATGAAAGTGACAAGTATGAACTCTTTCAGACTTTTGAGTACATCGAATCTTGCGATGACACTAACAGCAACTACAATACCTGCAATAATCATAGTAATTATCCATGTGATAAATGTCCACCAGAATCGTAAGTCGATGAGTGGAACAGCTGCAGGAATGGCGATGATTATTGTCTAGAGTGGGAAAGAGGAGAAGTGAACAATAACGAAGAGATAAAATACAGCAGTTTTCGAAAATTATTTCCGGAAATGAATGAGTTGAAGACAGTTGGAAGGAAGTTGTTAACTTTGGTCTTCAGATTATAGACGAATCATAATAAGGCATACATACACTCAGTCATTGTATGACGCGTGCTGTTAGCAGCTAAAATAATAGACCCACTACAGAAACTAAATAACACGACACTGATTTCAATCTCACATTACCGCGAAGTTAAGACATACCACTTATGAAACGAATCGGGAAGATGTTTCCAGCCCATGGGTTTATCTCTATTTCCCAGAAGGAATTCATCCAGTGTATTGGAAATAACTCCGTTAATAAATGTAAGCCGGTAGAAAGAGATAAACTCTTATCTTCAGGTTTCGAAGAAATCACGTGAAGTCGTATGTACCTCCAAATATCTGTCGTTAATTCATTCTACACGGCCGAACTTGTTCGATTGGATTCAACCACAAGTATCCTCTAATCACACTGACACTGATTTAGCCATGATACTACAAGGGACTGAACAGAAATCTGTTGTCTAAAGATTTAGGAAATCATGTTCAGCTAATGGGTTGATTTCTATTTTCTACGATATCTTTATCTACGTTATTCACTTTTCTTCTTGTTGCAACCAGATCACATACATTCCCTCCAATCTTGCAGTTCCTACCATGTGTTCCTACTATGGAATGAACGTTCCAAGTGCCACTGTAGTCTGTTTCACATTCTTATAATTCGTTTGTTCCAGTAAGTTGGAAATATATTAAATCTAGTTCATCGTTATTACTTTCAGGTTTGAGTATTAGATACAATCAGGCGTCATGTCGCTTTTCGCCGCTGAATTGGCTTCTTCGGGATAAGATGATATCCTTCTTACTTTCTTTTAGTGTGAAACTTGTTCCTTAACTGTTTCAACTTCATTTCTCTTCTATTCAGTCTTATCACCAGAAGATATTGCGTAATTTTTATGTGGAGTTATAAGGAAGGCAACAAGCGAAACATGTCCTTATATGAATATTATTGTGAATAAACTACTTTCATAAAATCAGCTGACTTGAAATGATGTATGACAAAATGCACTCCACTTACAGCAACTATCAAGTAGACATAATTGTAGGGGTAGGCGGACTGTAACTGCGGTATTAGCAGCATCTCCAGTTGTAGACCTGTTCCCAGAATTCTGTATAGTTGCAAACAAAATTGATGAAAGTTATAAAGATTTGGATTCTGTGGATCAATTTGTACAGGATGTGAATAGGGGAGGATTGACACCACCTATAACTGTATCGACTTAATATGACGATTGCTACCAGAGTACTTAAGCTACACTTGATTGTGTTCTTTTGAATGGTGGGTAGCCGTGTAATATTAATAATTATGATAATAATAATACCTATTTATTCTGATAAATTTGTAGAATTCACATGAATAAGTTGTCGTTTGCACGGGTAAGACCATATCTCATATAATAATACAACATATTCAGTTATCAGTTATCGAAGTGAGGACAGGAGTAAGACAAGGCTGCCTACTATCGACAATGATTTTCCTGATTGCAGTAGATTGGATAATGCGACAAACAGTGGGTAATGAGGAAACAGGCATAAAATGGACTCACACAAAATACTTGGAATATCTGGAATTCACCAATGATATATGTCTGATTTCTCACAAACTGGAAGATATGCAAACGAAAAGCAACAAGTTGGCAGAAGAAGCATTAAAGATAGGACTTCAGGTGAACATAGATAAAACAGAGGTGATGAAGATTCTTGAGAAACACCACCAACAGCAACAACAACTGACAACAATCAGCATAAATGGGAGGAACCTGAAAGAAACTACCTCTTTTACCTACCGACCTGGAAGCATCGTCTCAACTACAGGCAGACGGAACTGACGAGGATATCAAAGCTGCTAGGATCGGGAAAGCAAGACAAGCTTTCACTACTCTCAAGTCTGTGTGGAGGTCAACAACACTCAGCATCAAAAATATGATCCGGATTTTCAACTATAATGTGAAGTCAGTGCTACTCACTATACGGATCAGAGACTTGGCGCGTCATGAAGAGCATCCCAAACAAACTACAGACCTTCATCAACAGTTGTCTTCGCTCAATACTCAAGATCAGATGGCCAGTAAAGATCAGCAACAGAGATCTCTGGCAATGAGCGAACCAACCAGCAACTGATTGTAAAACAAATATGCTTAGGGAAATGGAGATGGATTGGCTGGTCATACTCTGAGGAAACCATCCAGTGACATCACTAGACAAGACATTGCTCGAGTGGAACTCGAACGGGAAGCGGCGAGTTGGTCGTCAGTGCAAGGTTGACTTGGAGGAGGTGATGTGAAGAGAAGATGAAAACGTGTGGGCAGACATGGAGCCAGGTGAAAACTCTAGCAGAGAACCGAACTCAATGGAGACGCACGGCTGTAGACCTATGTTCCTCTAGGAATTAAAGGGAATAATAATAATAATTCAGTTATCAAAGTTAAGATTTCTGTTTTGTAGGACAATATTGTTTGAAATGGAATATAGAGTTGCTCATACGATCGATAGGTATTGGCGTTCTTCAGTGTTTCCCACTTTGTTAACTATCAATATCGATTTTTTAATGTCTACGTCTTGGAATGATGGTTTTAATGTTTTAATGATAGCTCGCTTAAACAGAAACCAAATTCCACCTCGCTATAATGAGTCCTAGTGGCTTATTCACTCTCTTTCTCTTTGCCTTACTGTCTATGGTATACCTGATTATGAGATATATGTAATAGATGGGGTGCTATGTATTAGAAATGGATAAAAAGTTATTATTAACGTACCCACACACCCATGTAAACCAAGTATACTTTGACATCAATTTTTGAATTGGCGGACTTGAAAACGTTTAATTTACAAAATTATTCAGCAACACACAACTTACACAAGTAACACGAGAGCGCAGACTTCCCACACGATTGTAATCTGTATTGCTACTATGATAAAAGTCTTTGAGAAATGAGATGAATGAAATTAACACCCTCTGGAAAGCGAAACAAATACCTTCCAAAGGAAGTCCCTGCTCCTTCGTCCTACAGAAAACTGATTCAAAACAGACTTGAATAATTTCGTCATAAGTAAAACTGATGGGGAACATACTTTTGTGTTACTGTGTGGTGAATTCATTGAATCTTGATTTGAAGGTAGTTCATCCGTTGGAGTAGATGGGAGGATTGTTTGCTTTTCATTTTTCACTGATGACATTTTCAAATGATTCATAATAAATTAAAAAGACGAGAAAAGAAGAATAAAATTTGATGGTTACCTCATTTTAGGAGAGTGATTCTCCATTATTAACTATGCCTCCTAACAATGGACTACTTGAGAATTCGTGACTTAGGAATAATACAGCTCTAACCAAATGGTTGGATATGGAAAATCCGTTTAATATCATTTTTCATGTCGACGTTACCACTTATGCCGAAGCGTGCACCCAATAGCTTAGCTACTAAACGTCTTCCTTTGAACTACCACGTTTCAAGACCGTAGAGGAGAACGGCCTGGATTGATACACACTAAACAAGGAGTTCTTTGGATACTCAGATGTCACTGCTGTCACAGGTGGGAAATATAATATAGGTATCTCAAGTAGCTGCAGAACAGTTCTGTAGCATCATCTGACATTCCACATTACCGAGTATTATGCCGAGCTTACTGAAAATGTTCCACTCACAGTGGTATATTAGGTTTTTTATAATATATATCACAAAGTGAAACAGTATTATTTACTGGATGACGTTTCGAACAAAATTTATTGTTCATAATCGTATCAGTTGTATTCACACGACTTTGAAACTTGAGTTTTATAATTTTGTTTGTTCTCTCCTATTCGTCGTCGTAGGGGTAGTAGAATATTCCAGATATCCAACTGGACAGGTGTTGAATCATTCCTATTACACGTATTTGCAGTTGATTCGGTTAACAAATCTTCTGTTATCAATCTCTCCATCCACTTTCTTACATTCGATTTTAAAACTGTTATCTTATCCCATCCCATCCTATTGTATGGTTGTGTGTCATTGCATGTAGTCAGTGGTATAGCTGAACTCTTCTCTAGATTTCTTATCTTATTACGGTCAACTAATCCAGATATTTTGTTAGGGTTTGTACTCCGCTAGTCTGACTGAATGCACCCTACTACTTTGCCCCATGTCTTTGGCCTGACAATTATTGCAGGCTATTATATAAACTAAATTGTAAGGCTTTTTGGCTTAACAGGATTGATGCTCTAACCGAAAAGCTGGTTTCTAATTGAGTTTGTGGGTTCGAATGCTACTTTTATTCCTGCCTTGTTAGGAATTCTGAGTAAGGTTTCCAAGGTTCCTTCCTTGTATGGGATTACTACTGATGATTTAGATTATTTATTGATGGTGTTGTCATCATTTTGGTGATGTTTGACATGCATGTCGTCATCAGCACTATTATTTTTATCACTATCACTATTAAATTTATTTTTACATTTCTCTACATACTATCTGACTAATTTATCAGGGTTATTATTAAGTTTCAAAGCTTCTCTTACATGCCTCACTTCCTGTCTTAGATTTTCCTTGGTACCACTTAGTTTTTGTCCTCTGTCACTTAATCATCTCACCAATCCTATTTTTACTGACATAGGATAGGATGATCGGAAATCCGAATATCTGTTTGAATGTGTGGATTTCCTGCAAATGCTAGTGTCCAACTTCCCATCTTCTTTCCTTCTTACGCTACAATCTAACATCGGAACCTCCCCTTCCTGATTTCCCAATTCACAAGTGAATTGAATTGCCTCCACCTTTGAGTTAGTGTGTTCGAAAAATCTATCTATATCTTGTGTTCTAAGTCCAGTGAATGTGTCATCTAGATACCTCCACGATACTTTTGGAGTGGGGCTGAACGTTTCAATCGCCATGCTTTCCTACCTATCCATGAATAGATCAGCCACAACCGGGGATATTGGTGACCCCATAGCATCTACCTCAGATTGTTTGTATATTTTCCCCTGGAATTTAAATACTGTGGAAGTCAGCATAGTTGCGCTCCCATCATTATATCCTCAAGTGTCACTTTCGTTCTTAGTTCAAGTTCTTGGTCAGAAATGAGCTATTTGCAGTAGATTTGTACAAATAATTACACCATTTTCAAAATAAACACTACAGTTGTCGGATCAAAATTTGTCCCTCATTCAGGATGGCGTTGGTTAGGATTCAAACTAAGTGCAAGTGAAACCCAGTTCGCCTGTTAATACGGCCAATCTTGAGCTTTTGTTTCGATTTTTGATTATAGCTTGAAACCACACGGTACTTTACGTAGAAGAATGGAATTAGATGGTTGGAGGCAATCGGCAGGAAGCCTTGGACCTAGGTTTCGTGCTAGTTGGCACTCATCAGCAAGGCGTATCTGCAACCTTGAAGGAACTGATGTCCCTTCTGAGATTCGAACCCGCGTCACCCAGTGCTGCAGCCAGAGACGTTACCACTGAGCCATTTAGGCTCGCGACTGACCTCCTGTAGGACTGTGTTGGATATTTTTGATTGAACACTAGTCAGTAACTAGTGTTACTGACTAGTGTTACTAGTGTTACTAGTTACTGACTACTGTTCAATCAAAAGAATGGAATTTTCAGCGTGTGATATCGGTGGCCCAAATTTTGCAGGCCGACCATTGATATCAGGTGTACGTCGGCAGGGGATCGAACCCCAGATCATGTCCGTGGTCGGCGAGAATCCCATCCACTGTACCACCGACATATGTATATTATGTCCAAATATTTGAAGGCACTGTTATCTAGAGTCTTCGAAGCTGAACATTCCAAACAGATATTTCAGATTTATTCGTCCCATAAGTCGACAAAAGTTAAGATACTTTAAACAATTCAAGGGATAAATACAGACGTCGCATCCTAATTTAGGGCAGCCTAATATTCTCTCTCATGACAACTTCAATATTTTCACTTCGATAATTTCCTTATACATGTTGTTACGACTCATTCATTGTGTTAGATTCACTCAAAGATAATTTCCAATCGCCACCCATTCAATACTGTCAGTGAGTAACGTCATTCCCCTCCTATTCCAGTGAATAAGCAGGTGTCCAACTCTGAATGGAATTTGTTAAATACAACTCATTCGGCGATCAGTCGGGGAACATCGAA